ATTGTCTTCATATCGGAATGATTGCCTTTATACCAACACTCCGCCCCTATATCCTCCCACTATCCGTCCTTGTTGGATTATATTGTGGGCGTGATTGGGGTGGGGTCAGCATGTGGGTTGCCATGGTGGAGGGTCGGCTTGCAGGTCAGTAACAAACCCATGGCTAGGTGCGCCAAAGTTAATTCGAACAAGGCAAAATGAGGGTAAAGGGTAGGGGACCCAGAACACCAACTGCATTGTAATGCAGGTTGATGTCCAACAAAGGGACGACCTTGTTGTTGCAACTGCAGCTGACATGCTGGGGCAACCTGATGGGAAGACAGGTACTGTAATGCCCCCCGACAGGGCTGCAGTCTTTCGATGATACCCCCTGCCCACAGAACGCCCACACATGTGTGGGCGTGGTCACCATTACACAAGCTTAATGAAGGCAGGAAAAAATAAAGCAAACTGAAACAGAGACAGGCTTTAAATACTCTATGTTTTAAATTTTAAAGCATTCTTTTCGCAAAATATATTTTTTAAAGCCTTATTTAATATTAAAAGTATTGTAATAACTATTTCCGTTTGAATCGTATGCTGATGTTCTCTTAAAAGTGTTTAATATAAAAACAAATAAAAAGAAATTCATACGAAAGGATATGCCATCAGAATATATATCTCCCTTCAGGGCCATAACCCCGCTAACGATTCAACGCCTCTCGAAAAAGATTCCGGAAAAGCTGAAACTGTTAAAGGTTGCCATCGTTTAGTGGGCTTAACATTTATAATTCATTAGTTGCTGGCCTTTAAGGACTTAAAGCTGTTTTATTTTTTCCTTTTGCACTTTCGCCTTTTTGGATTTCAATATTTTCTTTTCTTTTTTTTTGTTTTCCGTTGTTGGCTCTGCTGAATGAAAAATAAGGCACCTGGGAAATTTGGGTAAATGCTGGGGCAGGCTCAACATAAATAATGTTAACTTCTCATATATAGCCCCTCCTTGTATAAAGCAAATTACAGGTGAACTGAGTGTGTGCTTGTTAAAGGAAATGTGAGAAATGTTTTAATTAAATTATAAATGCCTGAGAAAGCCACAAAGTGATTGAAGCTCAAAGATCTTAATTCAGGAACAATGTTTCCAAGACATTTAATTAGAATGAGACACTATCTATTGTTAAATCTAAAATAAATGTAGATATGTATGTAAGATAATTGTTGGCCATTTAATTTATTCCACACAGCATTTTATATTTGGGGGGAATATTTATGGTGGCACGCCGGGAGGAAAGAATTGCCACAAAACATGTTTCCAAATAGCTGCCAAATGCACATTAACCGCACCAAACTTGGCCACCAACTGAGCCGCATATTTTAGCCACACACACACACCGACACTATGGGAAAGAGACAGCAGTTCCTGGTCCAAAAGAGACAGAAACATTGGGTTAGAAAGAGAAATAGACAACGAGGGGCAGTGAGATTGCAACTAAAGCTGGAGAAAATATGTGCATTCATAATAAAAATTTATGAGCCCAGCCTCAAAAGAAAAGTTGGCAAAAGTTTCGTGCAAAAGAAAAGAGCAAGAGAACTAGATGGCCAGCGAAAGAGACGGGTATAGCCAAAACAGACAGATAGAAGTTGAGCAAATTGCTTTGTAAAAACATCAACTTCATTGCCATTATAAAGTTCAACAAATACAATTTATGTGCAACAAGATGCATCTAGGCAGGTCGCAGCAGGTAACAATACACAGAAAGAGACAGGTGAATCTGAACCCGATGAGAGACAGAGACGGGTAGCTGAATATGATGAGTAAACAACAATTACCCCAACGAACCAAAACATTTCCCTCTGCATTGTTGTGGGTGCATTCGGAATTTGAATTTTTCACTTTTCTCTGCTACCCTGCCTCGAACAAAAAACTTTTCAATGCGAAACTTTTTCTTTCTCCTACCAATCTCACATATATTATGTATTTTTTTTTTATATCTGACAAAAACTTTTATTCGCTTTTTCTATGCAAATAAATTTTTGAACAATTCCTCGCGTCACACGCGGCGTATGCGCAATTTAACATGAACACCCCTGAAAGTATGCAGCGCCAAGCGGAGCGGAGCAAAACATTTCAAACATTTTTTTCAAAATCACATCAAAAGGCTGGCAGAATTTTCATTTAGCTAGCCATTATTCCTATGGTTGCCCGTCGAGTCAATTTTGCATGCAGCTAATAAATAAAAAACATTCCAACAAGAATATGATATCAAGGATACTTGGCGAGTATTTCACATTTTTCATTATTCACAGGGCACTGAAAGAAAGATTTTATAGAAAATATATTGTAAAATAAACTCTACTTAGTCTACAGAAAATATATAAGATTAAAAAAGACAAAATATTTATCTGAAGCTTTGTTAACATCTTCTTAAATCAAAAGAAACTAAAACTTCCTTAAAATGTATTTATTTTTTAAACAGAATTTATTGCCATATTTACGAAAGCTTATTAACCAGCATATTTAATATATAACTAACTACTCACCAATGTCTTGAATACGATTTAAAATAATTCCATATTTCCTGAGCTAAGGACCCCAGAACCCTCCGCCATCCATCAAGTGGCAGCAGACGGAACCCGCCAGACAGGAGTGGCCTGGGAAAAAAGGGAGAGCAACCTCCAGAGAGGCTGCAATATTTCAGCTCTCAACGCGACAGCCAAGTGTCTATGGGTGGGGTGTAGCCATGGACCTATGGATGGGGGAGCCACTGGGAAAGCACTCTTCCAGGGACGTTTGAGTTTTTAATAAGCAGCCAGGACGGCGTCAAATGCCAGAAGTTTGATGAAAGTGAAGGCAGCTTGTCGGGCAGGGTGGCTATGCAGTTTTCAAAATTGAATAAAGTTGACAAACGAGGCGTGGCAATAGCAAGCGCCCCAAAAAAAGCGAGACAGCACCAAAGAGTCAGAACGAGAGGAAGATAGAGGAGCCGGGTGACTGAGCCCTCTCGAAAAGGTGATAAATTCTCAGTGAAACGCCGTCACGGGCTGAAGTGTCGTCAACAGTTTGGGCGGAAATGCTGGGGAAATCGGAGTGATGGGATCGAAAAAAATATAAATTTAATTGCAAGTCTTGGCTTGCAGATGCCAAGGAAGTTTCACAGAGAAAGCCGGAAGTATACGGGTCAGGGAAAATGATTTTTGCAAATGCAATTTGCCAAATGAGATAAAAACTCAGACGCTTGAAGGGTGTTGAATGACTCTTTTGGGGCACTTGGGATAGTTTCAAGGATCCTGCAAGTTTGGCTGTTGAAATACCTTATATCCAAAGATGTGAATTATAAAAAATATAATCTTTGAAATATTTCATTTCCCAAAAGGCATCTTTATTGCCAATTTCTACAAGTGCTTGGCCACATTATCACTGCCTCCAAGAGCATTTCAATCAAATTGCATTAACTTTTAATGCCACCCAATGGCCAGATGCGAATCTACCTGGCCGTAAACCAAAGACTGAATGCCATCGAATCAGGCATTAACGCCGCATTCTTGTCAGGCTCCTCGGCTCCACTCCCCTTGGCTGGAAAAGATTAAGCCTGGCCCTCAAGGAGAGAAGCCAAAGTAACAACAATGGTAGCCTCATTCATAAGCCCCAAGGTTAAACCACTAAAAATCATTGACCAACATCAAAGAGCCATTGTTTTCGGTCAAAAGCAAATGGACCAGAAATACTAAGCCCCCAAATGAAAACGAGAATGGGAATCAACATCGGCATTGGCATCGGAGTGGGAATGGATGGACATAACACAAATGCCAAAGACGAAGATTTATGCCAATTGCTCTTGAGCACCTTAAACCAAAGTGTGTATAGAATATATATATATATATTATGGTCAGCCCCTCTTGCATCCTCGGTGTGTGACTAATGAACAGGCTATCCGGCAACTACCAACCAGCACGTTGGCCTTTTATTTAGCCATTTTGAGCCCACCCACATTTCCACAATTTACGTTACTCTGAAATGCCTACATATATATGTAGTACGAGTGTATGGTTCTATATGGCCGGTATATTTTTATATATGTGACGAGAAAAGAGAGCTATGGCCGCAGCCAGCTCATTAATTTCGCTTAACTTCACAAATTGCCAATTGTGCGCATTGGTCAACATTTTTGTACTTTATTCCGTCTCGCTACCAATTCGAATTCGAATGGTTGACTGGGCCTGGATTTCAGTTTCAGTTTCTGGTGCTTGCTTCTGGTGCTGGTTCTGGTTCTGGTTCGGCTTCTGGACCAGGTTGATTTCCTTTATGCCCTGAGCCCGCCCCGGCTTTATAGCCATGTCCGTGTCCGACAATTTCTTCTCTATTGTTCTCGCTGTTGTATTTATTGCCTTGAATGCCAATTTGTTTCATGTGGCCATTGTTCTACACTATTGGGTCAAGGTATCTGGACTCTGTATTGAAATTTGTTTCTTAAAAAATTACATTCTCTAAAGTACAACTTATAAGAAAGGCGTTTTAAAGCCCTAAATTTAGATAATAAGTCTTTTAAATTTTTCTTAAAAAATTTTATGTTTTTTAGTAAGGGTATCCCACAGAAACTTTTCCATATTTTCTGGTAGTTTAATGTTGTAATGTTTTTGTGTTGCCCTTGTTGCTTTTTGGTACCGTCTGTGTGCACATGAATTCTTAGTTTATGAACTCCAGTTGGCCCCACAACTTCTTGTTAATGTTTCACTGGCATGTTACCTCAATCTGTGTCGGGCTTCCCATTCCCTAATGTATGGAATATACCTTGAACATATATTTCTTCCCTCTATGAGCAATAAAAATGGTGACAAATTGTCATCACACGCGCCAAATGGAGACTTTATTAATGTAAGCGACTTTTATGGCCGCCAATGGGCCCGGTGGCGTATGCGTAATGCGAACAGACAATTGGGGAATTGTTGTTGCAACACAAAAATACCATCAATTAACTTGGCCTAAATGGAAACTAAAATTCTTTTTTTTATTTCGTTATTTACAGGAAATCAAAAATACAATATCACACAACTATTTGCCGGGAGGTTCAACAAGGCGTAAGATAGAAATCAACGGAGAAGGGCACTCGAAGAAGCGTTTCTCGGAAGCGAACAGTAACGATCATTTTTTTATAACTTTTTTTTATAAGTTAATTTTTTTTAATTATTTTATTTATTTTTTTTTAAGAGCTCGCCCAGGAAAATGTTAAGAGAGTAGCCAGGGAAGCTGCCTGCAGGATTCCTCAAAAACGTTGCCTGCTCGTGCAACAGGACACTTCGAAGGAGTACTGGCCCCGTTGTGCCATCCTGCATCGCTGCAGTGAGGACAGCGGCTGCTGCCGGAAGGGTAAAATATGCGCCGCCAAGAGCACCCACAACGTTGAGCTATATTTCTTTGTGAGTATCAGTAAAGTCTTCATAGGGGGTCATATTTTCAGAAAGTTAATCAAAGGCGTAGGCCAGAAAATTAAATACTAAATTGTGGGAAAAATCTAAGCTTACATACTATAATGCATTTTAGTAAAGAATATAGTTATTTTTAAGTTGACCATTATTTAGAAATATCTAGCATATATGCTAGCCTGTATTTTTTATCAAAATGAGCTTTTGTGATTACAAGATGATGTGTTTAATCTAGTTTTTATTAAATAAGAGCCACGCCCCTGCCCTCGTCAAATTACTTTCATTCAATTGTTATGCTTGGGTGCAGCGGAAACAACAAGAGAACACAGAATCAACAAATTAAAAGCAATTTTCATTGTGACATGCAGGCAGTCATTGTTTGTTGTATTTTTTAAAGCGACAAACGTGAGCGGTTTGCTCGCGTTTTCTGACTTCTAACATAAATGCAGTAAGAGCTCCATCTCTTTCAGGCCGAGTACACCCATCTCTGTCTCATGACTTTACCTTCGAAGGTAATTGTTGGTGGCGTTGTTGTTAATGCTGTTGGGGGCGTAGGTCATGCTTGAGGGCGCCATATTGCAACATAATTATATCGTTTCACCTTTATTTTCATTTAATTTTTTTTCTGATGCTTTTTTTTTGTTGTCTCCGGGCTTTCGACTGAAATGACTTTTTAATGACGCAATGATAATTCAATTTGTTTGGTGATTTATGCCTCATGATATGATTATTGTTGCCGTGGGGGTGCTCTGGCTGCCTCGGGCATTGTTCTTTTTCTGCCTTTTTGTTTTATAACGAGCTTTCAATACGTTTTGAAATCGAGAATGTAATTAAGTTGGCGGGAAAACCCATTTCGTCAGACTTGAATATGTTACAAATTGGATTGTTAATTATCTGATGGATGGTTTGCTAATTAAACCCAAAAAAGAATTGTGGCAGAAAACTAATTAAATTTTAATTTATTTTTAGCATCTTGCCAGAGACAATTTTAATATTCTGCCAGTGACAGCAAACCATCTTTTGTCGAGTAAACATAAGCTCCTTTCTTAGGAAAATTTCAGTTACTTTCCCAGCCGGCATTTGCTTAGTTCTCCATTATGAGTGACTTTCCATTCTTTGCGTAACTTTCATAAATTTCCTTTTTGCGGCAGGCTGCAAGTTTTTTTTTATTAGTAACCTACAGGGCAGCCATAACTCGTGCCACTCCGTACTCCAAAAGGATGGCTTTTAATTTTCAAATATTTATGCTGCGCTTGCCGCAAAAAGTTTCCACTTGCAAGATTTATGCAGGCACACACTCACGCCCAAGAAGATAGTTTTTCGAGCCACAAGCCGCAAGATGCTTAAGAACTAGACAAACATGCCCCACACCCCACACACGTCGCCAAAAAAAGGGCATCAGCTTAATTATCCAATATAACTTGAGAGTCAAGCCACACAAATTATTGAAGGAGCAATTTAACATTTTCGACACTCGAGCAAAAACCTGCCAGATAATATTAATAGATAGGGGGAGAGGTCTGCTTGGCCTTAAAATTAATGGCCAAGTTACGAGGCAAAAAGTTTTCATGGCCAAAGGATGAGGCTCTTATAGGGTATCTTGGAATTTATTGGAAAAATAAATAGATCCTAAAGTAAAACATAATTTAATAACTTTGTTTAAGCATAGTTTTCACTTAAAGCTTAAATGAAACAAGCAAACAATTTTAGGATTGCCTCTCCGAGAAAATTCCAAAATAAACTTCCGTATTTTTGGCTTAAACTAACTTTGTGACAAGTTCTGGGGAATCTTCCTGTTGAAGAGTGTATGGCCTCTTGGAACTTTTGTGTCCGTCATTGCTTCCTCTTGGCCCTGTTTCCGACACCATTCCCCACCCACATATCCTTTTCTCACATAGGGGCCACAAAAGAAATAAAATATATGTATATATATATTTCTAGCCAGGAAACTGAAGATGAAGTTGAAGCTTTGTGTCCAAAAGCTGTTGGCAGTCTATGGCTAAAATATGTATACACAAGAACACATTTTAGGAATAACATATAAAAGCCACTAAATAGGAAAAAGAAGAAGCTTCTAAAGAGTGAAGAGAAGTGAGAAGAAGAGCCTGAAGAAGAAGAAAAGGAAGCTGTAAAGACTGAAGAAGAAGAAGCTGGCTGCCAGAGGGGAGAAACTCAGCGGTTTGTCATTGAGAGGTGTCAAGTGACGGGCCAGCACACACACAGCTGGAGGGCCAAAAGCAACAGCAATCACTGAAAAAAAATGTTAAAAAAATATATATTATATTAGAAACTTTAAACTAAATAAGAGAACCAGACTTAAAAGGCCCTAATCCCATTCCCACTCAAAACTTTAAGCCAAAAGAAGAAATACCAATCAGAAAATCATGCTTGTGTAAGAACACTGGAGACTTGAAGGTTTCTACAGGAGTTAAGGAGCGATAACCGGGCTGAGGATGCAACAACCATAACAAGAGCAGTGCAGCACCACAGCATACAGCAACGCAACAAAAAAAAAAAAGCGTAAACATTTTAACAAAACATAATTTATGTTGCGCAAATTTTTGCATTTGGGGGCAAGGAAGGTTCCTGGTTGTACCATACTACGGGTATGCGGGGGCTGTGAGGGATATTCTGCATTGTGGAAGACTGTAAAGGGCAATGTCCTCACACCCACTGCCCCTTGCGGTGTTGCAAACAAAATTCCACCACATGTTGTAAGCATTGTGAGATTTATGAGCTGGTCTCCTCTCCTTTTCTCCTGGATTCTCAGCTTTTTTTGAGAGTATGTGTGTATTGCGGGGGAGTTCAATGACCTCCACTTTCACCCAGGTCCAGAAAGGAGTGAGCTTTAGGATTGAGGAGGGTAAGTGAGAGGCTAGAGCAGAAATCAAAGGCCTCCTCTAATCGTGAAAGCCAACGCCCACCCACACACACACTCCATTCGAGGAAAAGTTTTGCTTGTTTAGCAAACCGAAGCCAAAGTAAAAGTCAATTGACTGACAGGCAAATGGCTAGCTCCATGGGCGACTCCTCATCTATATTCTCCATCGAGTGCAGGGAGAGAAAATACTATAGAGTCTATCTAGAGACTATGAGATTCTCTTTTAAAAAAATTTTTAAAACCTAGGTCCCTAAAATGCCAAAATTGTTCTTACGTTTAAATTTTAAAACATAAAAGACTTAGGCCTGTTAGACCTCTATTTTCTGGCAGTGTCTAGCCCCCATTCAAAGACTTAACCGCACCAAACTTCGGTGATTTAATTAATTTGCCACAAAATGTGGCCAGCTCGAGGCGTGTATATAATGAGCTAGGGATGAGTTGTACAAAGCGGAGGAAAGCACGAGAAGGAGCAGCTAAGCGGCTGGAGCTCTGGGGCGGGAATAAGCTGCCAAAAGAGTTTAAGGACCCGCCTCCTCCCCACCATTCGTGACACATTCGTTGAGGCAGTTTTAAAGCTGCGTAATGCAGTTTAATCAAACTCAGTCCCAGGACCAAGCTGGGGCATGCAACCACGTGTGTGGCGACAGTATCGTGGGAGAAGCGGGCCAAAATGCGTAAATAGGTGGAAACAGGTGCAGGTGGTGGCAGGTAGCACTAAAGGAAAACCGTCTCTAATGCCACGTTGACGTGAAAGCCATGTAAAAGTCCAGCTTAAAACTAAGCCATGAATAACAAACATAAACGAAATATATAATTTCAATAAAATATGGTTTCTATATAAAAAATAAAGAGAATATTAAAATATATATTTAAATTTAATGTGAAATGAAATTATTAAGAAGTTTAAAGTTGTAGTTTAATTTTTGCATTTATTTAAAGTTAAGAAGTACAATAGTATGTATCAGCCAGATTTTAAAGCTTCTTGTTTATAAATGTTTAAAAAACCTAAAAAATATTAATCCATAGAGAAAACTTGGACATATTTTGTATAGCCTTTACCAAACACTCATAAAAAATACTTCCTGAATTTAAGGCAAAAGATTGTAAATAACCAAGAAGTTTTACCTCTCATCTTCTCCGGCTCAATTAAGCTCTCGACAAGGTCTATTGTTTTGGGCCAAAACAACAAGTGCCTGGAAATTTAGGAGAAACATTTTATGCTTACACGCTACCAAGCTGACTTAATCGTCCCCCTTGAAAGCCCCTTGAAAATCCCTTGGCAAACCGAGCAATAACTGACTAATTGTCCAGGTAGCACACGCTCATTCTCAAGAGAAAGGGGTATACCTACCTTCATATGTACATATACATATGTATATGAATGCATTTGCATACTAAGAACGCAACCTCAATTAGAGATGCCAAGTTGGAAAGAAACCCAACCACACACAGAAACCCCACCTCCTTTCAAAGCACTCATAAACAATATGGTTTTTATATCATACTTACACTTAAACTCATAAAAAATATACTTCAAACAAAATTAATTATTAATAAATATTTTTATAAGTCTGAGTAACCCAAATTCGTATATATTTTTACCATATTTTTTTAACTTACTATTTTCAAATGAAAAATATGTCAACCGGTGGGATTTTCTCCTGAAAGCCTAGTTGGAAATTTTCTTTTGTTGCCAAAAGCAGTTTAGGCCGACTTTTGCATATTTACTGAGCTGGGAAAACAGAGAAGCACTTTACTGCCATTTTTTGTTGCACAAATGCGGTTTGCCAGGAACGGTGGGCTGAGCGAAGTAACAACAGCAGCACTTGGCACTTCCGTTTCCGGCAATTATTGTTGCACTTAGTGAAGTAAAGCTTTCGTTCTCAAGGAATTTTTTTCGTGCTTTGGCATGCAAAATAAAGAACCCTAAAAACTTTTGTTGTATGTCCCAACCAGAAAACTTTTTCAATTCGTTCGTTGCATTTGCATAAGGATTGGCCAAAACCACAACCCAAAATTGCCAACAAAATGAAGGAGTACCTCACAACACCAGAACCGCAGGGAACTCTGAACTAAAAACTCAATTTGCAGCATTTTCATAAATACATGAAACGAGAAGATGCCCGATTTTTATGGTTTTTGTTTGACATTATTGGGTTGGTTAGTTTTTTCTGCTTTGATGCGTCCAATCAAAATTGAAATGCTTCGCAGAACTCGAGCATTTTCTCTTGATTTCCTTTTTTTTGTTCCATGGCACACTTTGCCATTTTCCCAGGTCCTTACCAGAGATCTCTGAGCTACATAGATGAGTGTGCACTGGCCGTTGGCCAAGTCTTGATTAATAACCAACTTGTTATTTTAATTAAACGAATTCAACTTAATTTATGCAATTCATACGCATTTCATCATTTTGCACTTGTCATGCAACAAAACACACAAATGCCAAGGGAGCAACGAGGAGCGGAGGAGTAGCAGTGAAATGTGGACCACAGACTAGCCACGAAAGTGTCGACATAGAGGGGGCAAGTGGCAAGTAGCAAGTGGCAAGTGGCATGAGACCAATCCAATCCCAAGCATCAGCAGCTGTAGAAGTTTTGTGGTCTGTTAATGGCTGTGGTATACAGAGGCGTCTCGTTAAATGAAAAAGGGGAAAGTTTCCAGGGCACGTTCTTGAAAATTTGAGGGGAAAGAATATAAACTAATAGTACAAGGATTTAAGGGTTCTTGGATAGCAATAAAAAGTGGACTTTTAAACTTAATAAAAACATTCAAAAGTTTTTTGAAGGAAAAAAGATTTTTTTAAGATTTTAATTTTTTTTTTGAAAAGCTGGTTCTGCCAGAAGAAGTATTTATTTAAATACCACAGTTTTAACTTGAACCTACAATCCCCTAACAAGTTTCCCAATAATCCCCATAAGCCCCTGCCTTGACAATTGACAACTCATTTAAGAATTACAAGAGCTATGATTATAAGCGTCGGACATCGTGCCACGGCAACAATGACAACAAGTTTGATGAGCAGCCAGCTTAGCAGACTGTCAACTCCCTTAGTGTCAGATCGAAAGATATATAGCATTTGGAGCAAACAAGTCACGGGTTGAGGGCGTTTGGGGGAATTATGTAATGCCAGAGCTTGATATGCAAATAGTTGGTTGGTTTAATTAACCGACTCTGGATGTCACTGTGCCATGCCAGTGCATCCCAGTTAAATGTGGCATTTAATTAACGACTTTCTCAACTTTAACTTTAACCCCAGGTGTACGACATCAAAGAACCGCGTACGATTGAAAAGCGCACCTTTGTAAATCACACTGAGTGCCATTGCATCGAACGATCCAATTACAATGAGGAAACGGCCATGACAGTGGTCCGAGCCAGTGTATTAAGCTGCACCTGTCCGAGCGGTTTCGAGAAAATCCTACAGGACGACGACCAGTGCAGGTGCGATTGCACTTCCAGCAACGCCGGCTGTGATTCCCTGAAACGCGGCAAAGAACATTTCTCCTTGAACGATCGCAAGTGAGTATAATAAAGCCCTAAAACAGAGTTCATTATAATAGAGTTATACCCCCAAATCAACACAGGTGCATAGAGCAAGGTCGCTGCAAGCTGCCCACCTGTGAATACGGTCCTTTTATCAAGAAACAAGGTCGCTGCCCCAAACATAACGAACTTGCCTACAGTATCATGTCATAAGCGCTGACAGAATCTCCAAAAAGATGAAAACCAGGAAAAGTATTAATCAGCCTGTGTGAAAACTCAAAACGGGACAGGTAGGAAAAACCACAAGAGTTTTTCCATTCACCTGGCCGAGTAAAAGCAAATATAGAGACGTGAATTAAGTTGCATATCCTATACAAAAACAATACGAAAATACAATTAAAATAAATCTATTTATACACAGGGATGGGTCGACCTAGATATATGAAGAAAATACAGCGGTATCGTAGTAGAAATACTCCCCAGCTTATTTTTCCATTTTCACGAACAAATAATACAAAATTTTTTTATAAAATTCCTAGTCGACCCATCCTAATATACACCTACATATTAAATGTATATCAAAAGATTGTGTATTAAATGTTTTAAGACCACAAACAGTTTTGCTCTTAATTCAAAAAATTTGTAAAGAAAAAAAAAAGAATATTTAGCAAACAACTAAGACTTTTATGTGCATGTTTCGCTCCAAACAAAAAAACAAACTCACACGAATAATTGAACATAAATGATTCAATTTGCAAAGAAGCATTATAGAAATAAACAATAATGAATTATGTGTATTTTATTCATACGCAAAATGAAATTCCAAATATATAAATTGACTGCGTTTTTAGTTTTAATTGACTAATGTTATGTTATTTAATTATAATAAACACAATTAAACGAAAACACCTACGAGTTAAGCCTATAAATTACCTACATACGATGCATATATTATTCATGTTATTTAAATTAAGTTTTAACACAAAACGAAAAAGAAAAACATACGCAACAAGACTCAACACACATCAGAATACAATCATTTAAAAAAAAAACAAAATTAAGTTTTCATATATAATTTCTAGTCAAATTTTAATTTTGTTTTTTTTTCCTCCAGTTTTGTAGCTTTATTTTAATAATTCTGACTTTGAACTTACAAAAGCAAAAAGGCATTTAATAAAGTTACCAAAACATATGAAAACTAATAACTAAATGTATCCAGATAAATGTATAAACCATATATGAATATTAACTAGCCCACAAACTCTCTAGCTTCGATAATAAAATCCCAAGAATTAATTAAGATAATCTTCAATTTTAAAGAGCTCAAAGCAAGCCAAACGAGTGACTTGAGAGAAATCGATTTTATATAGAACTTTATTTTCCTTCGCCGAATGCACCATTTTAATATTAAGTTTGACTAAATCATAGTTCTCACACCAGGCACTGTATATATATATTTTAGATATAATATAAATTTAAGCGGCACTCGAAATCAAACCATTTGGCATTTACAAAAAAAAAGGAAAATAATTCGTGGATTTCATAACACATTTGCATATATTAATTTCAATTGAAATTTTTGGAACTCTAAATTTTATGAATTTATTTACCCATTTAGCCCTGACACCGTAAGCCGTTCAATGTTCTTCATTTCCACGATATCGCATTTACCAATTTTTATCGTTTGTTTGCCATAATTTACGGGCATTCTATTTGCTCAAATTTTAAATATAAATGTATATTTATTAAATCCGTTCCACACAAACGGACAAACTCAAATATCCAAACGTATAGATACATTGCAAGCTCCATGGTACGTTGAATATCATATGAATATTTCAATAAATCTGTGTAATTGTTTATAGAAGCTATATTGAGAAAAAATTAACCGCAAAATGAAAAGAAAACATTTCAAAATGATTTTATTTACCACTTTTAGCATAAATTTTAATGTATAATAAGAGCCAATGCAAAAAAAAAACAAAGTTGAACAGAAAAACCAACCATTACTAATAAAACAAAACATATTATTACTATGCAAAAATCCAAATAAATATGAAAGTGAATAAAACGAAAAATCCAACAATGGAAAGTTAATGGTTTTAACTATTAAAAAAAAGGGGTATGGGATGCTGGATGGGATGGAGTCAGGTGAGGTGTTAATTAGCAGGCTGGCGCTAAAGGAGCCAGTTTAATGAGTTCCAGTCAGGGAAAGTCAAGTGGCGAAAGTTCCAACTGCAATGCTAATGAGTTGCAAAAAATAAAAAACAAAATATATATAGAAAAGCAAAAGTGTGTTTATAATTATGTTTGCTTGTTGTTACAAAACTTTTGGAGCTTATAAATCACTCCGTTCTCCCCCATTTCCTTAGTTCACCTTTTGATTAGCCTTCAAAGACTTTCCAATTACAACCTGTGGACCCATCCAGTCAGCCAATTCCGTGCTAATGACAGCATCTAACTGGAAAGTTTCTACTAATGAAAATGCATAACAAATAGTATCTCAGACCCAACTGCCGCCCACATTCCTCCCACCTGCAGAATACCACACAGATGTAATTTTCACCCAGACACGCACAGACACTCACACATATACTGACACGCTGACAGGTGGACGCACAGCGAAATGGGTGCTGGCCACACATTACGATCTAAAATTTATAGAATTTATAAGCAGAGTGCACCCAGAAGGGTTAACTACGATGATAGCGCCACCTGGCGGGAGGAAGAGCCACCACGCCATAGATAAGCTCATTTGGTTGATGGGCATGTGGCCTTGGCTCTATAATGGCTATAATAATGGTTATAATCGGGGCTTAAATGGATTTTACTAAAGGATATAAATAAAATAGCAAACACAAACATTTATTTTTTTATGGATAAATTCCGTTTAAAAACAACATCAAAGATGCCATCACTGTCACTGCAGAGAAGCAAAGGAAAAGGCCGCCAAACGAAATCAATTAAAATTGCAATAAAAAACTGGCTATCAGATAAGACCAGTTTAATATTCAGGGTACAACTCCCACTCGCTTTTAACTCGCCAATCATCGATTTTTGCTGGCCAAGTGAAATCACACGGAAATGCAAACAAGGCAAAAGTGCCAACAACAACAGGAACAACAAAAACAAGCAAAATAATGTTTTCAAACCCGCAGCAACAAGCGATGGGCGTGGCAAGCAGGATCAGCAGTGGGCGTGGCAAACATTATGGTCCTGTGGAATGAGAGGCCAAGGAGAAAGGTAAAGGCTCAAGCGAAATGCACGGGCACGAGCTCACAAATTAAAACCGCACACGGAAAGGATGAAAGAGAGAAGGAGCCAGAGAGAGAGTGGGACAAGGAGTCGCCATGATATGCCTGCATAATTAATTCTCGCCACACACTCACTCACACAAACACAGGCGCCGACTGTAAGGGGGAAAGGGGGGCAGGGAGGCAGTGAGCAAATGGAAATATTCAAGTGGGCGGCATTCCTCCATTTTCCACCCAGGAAATGCCAACAAACGGCAAATGCCGCTTAATTTCAAACTCCCACACAGTTGCACAGACAGGTGGAGTTCGACTAGAGCCCTGTCCGGGGATTGAGTCTCCACAAAATTGCATTTAATTTCCTGCTGAAAACGTTACAATATGATACGATCTGGTGCAGTGTTGAAACAGCTTAAAGCCTGAAATTGGCAGTAGGACTATTAATGCACTTACTGTTACTACGATTTGAAATTTTGATGCAGATTTCTAGGAAACCATTACAGAAATAGGCAAAGGTATTTCGCCTAAGAATTATTTAAACGGCGATATAATTCAATGTCTTCAATGCTAATAAAAAGGACTAGTCTGGAAGCCTTTTAAAGTATTTCACTTAAGAATCGGATGCATATTTTCCAAGATATGGCTTTATTGGAGAATCGGATGAATATTGGCCAAGATATGGCTTTCGCAGTGGGCTATATTGTGGCAACCACGGTTTTCCACATTTTCATAGGGGGTCATTAGAAAATTTGATTGAAAATCTCAAAAAAATTCAGTCTTTATATGTTGCTGCAGATTACTGCAGAATCGATCTACAATTCATTTAAGGTACTCCGCTTAAGAATCGGATGAATATTGGCCAAGATATGGCTTTCGCAGTGGGCTATATTGTGGCAACCACGGTTTTCCACATTTTCATAGGGGGTCCATCAGAAAATTTGATTGAAAATCTGAAAAAATTGAGTATGAATATTTTGATGCAGATTAATGGATAATAGATCCACAATTCATTTAAGGTACTCCGCTTAAGAATCGGATGAATATTGGCCAAGATATGGCTTTCGCAGTGGGCTATATTGTGGCAACCACGGTTTTCCACATTTTCATAGGGGGTCCATCAGAAAATTTGATTGAAAATCTGAAAAAAATTGAGTATGAATATTTTGATGCAGATTAATGGATAATAGATCCACAATTCATTTAAGGTACTCCGCTTAAGAATCGGATGAATATTGGCCAAGATATGGCTTTCGCAGTGGGCTATATTGTGGCAACCACGGTTTTCCACATTTTCATAGGGGGTCCATCAGAAAATTTGATTGAAAATCTGAAAAAAATTCAGTATGAATATTTTGATGCAGATTACTGGATAATAGATCCACAATTCATTTAAGGTACTCCGCTTAAGAATCGGATGAATATTGGCCAAGATATGGCTTTCGCAGTGGGCTATATTGTGGCAACCACGGTTTTCCACATTTTTATAGGGGGTCGATCAGAAAATTTGATTGAAAATCTGAATAAAATTGAGTCTGAATATTTTGATGCAGATTAATGGAGAATCGATCTACAATTCATTTAAGGTACTCCGCTTAAGAATCGGATGAATATTGGCCAAGATATGGCTTTCGCAGTGGGCTATATTGTGGCAACCACGGTTTTCCACATTTTCATAGGGGGTCCATCAGAAAATTTGATTGAAAATCTGAAAAAAATTGAGTCTGAATATTTTGATGCAGATTACTGCAGAATCGATCCACAATTCATTTAAGGTACTCCGCTTAAGAATCGGATGAATATTGGCCAAGATATGGCTTTCGCTGTGGGCTATATTGTGGCAACCACGATTTTCCACACTTTCATTGGGGGTCCATCAGAAAATTTGATTGAAAATCTGAAAAAAATTGAGTCTGAATATTTTGATGCAGATTACTGCAGAATCGATCTACAATTCATTTAAGGTACTCCGCTTAAGAATCGGATGAATATTGGCCAAGATATGGCTTTCGCTGTGGGCTATATTGTGGCAACCACGATTTTCCACACTTTTATTGGGGGTCCATCAGAAAATGTGATTGAAAATCTGAAAAAAATTGAGTCTGAATATTTTGATGCAGATTACTGCAGAATCGATCTACATTCATTTAAGGTACTCCGCTTAAGAATCGGATGAATATTGGCCAAGATATGGCTTTCGCAGTGGGCTATATTGTGGCAACCACGGTTTTCCACATTTTTATTTGGGGTCCATCAGAAAATGTGATTGAAAATCTGAAAAAATTGAGTCTGAATATTTTGATGCAGATTATCGAATCGATCTAAATATTTAAGGTACTCTAGAATCGGATAAATACTGGCCAAGATATGGCTTTATGGGTATTTGGACCGTTTTCCATTTTCATAGGGGGTCGAAGTTTGTTGAAATGAAAAAATGAGTTGATATTTGATGGTGAGTGGATATTTTTAAAGATGGATGTTTTTTAGGGGGCATATTAAACAAAAAATTTGATTGAAAATGAAAAAATTGTTGAATTTTTGGTCTGAATATTTTGATGCAGATTAGTGGAGAATCGATCTACAATTCATTTAAGGTACTCCGCTTAAGAATCGGATGAATATTGGCCAAGATATGACTTTCGCAGTGGGCCATATTGTAGCAACCACGTTTTCCCTATTTTTATAGGAGGTCCACCAGAAAATTTGATTGAAAATCTAAAAAAAATTGAGTCTGAATATTTTGATGCAGATTAGTGGAGAATCGATCTACAATTTATTTAATGTACTCCGCTTAAGAATCGGATTGGCCAAGATTCGATTGCGGTACTCCGCTTCAGAATTGGGTGGATATTGGTCTTTCGCAGTGGCTACATATTATGTTCCCCTATAGCATTCAGGGCCAACATTTTTAAGCCCATCTATAGAATATGTAAATAATTATTATATGGAAGTGTTCTCACTTTAGGCTCTTATTTATAAATTTATTTTTTTGGTCGGATGCATCCGTTATTATCGCTTTTTGTTGCTGTTTGGCAAATGAAAATTTGCAATCGTTTACAAGGAATTAAGCATTAATGCAATTTACAATTTTGCATTTATTCATAAATTTTAATGGCATGAAAAAACAGGATCTGTGCAAAATTTGCTACTGAAACTAATATCAACATTATAATGCAGCTGTTTCAGCGACCAGCCCCCAATTTAAAGGCAATTAAATGTTGGTTCATACGAGTTCCTGGGAAAATAATTATGTGCATTGTTTTGCGTGTTATAATTTTACGCTTTATGGAGGCCAGTTAGGATTTATGTAAATTGTTCAAATTTATGAAACATAGGAGGGAGCTCAACCACTGAAAAATATTATAATCTTTTCGTATCTCCATATTTTTTCATTCAAGTATAGAACTCTTGCAGGCCACATTACACCCTCGACCTTGACTGGAATTTTAGTGTGTTATGCTTGGGATGCCTGAAAGTAAAAAAGTCTGAATGTGTTTGTATGAAAGTCGAGATCGTGCTGGGTTATTCTGCATTGACCTTTAGGACCATAAATACCATCGACCCCAATGCCCAGGCACGCTTCACATATCAAAAGGCGTACTCACAGACCCCCAGACATGGGAGCTTCATAAAAGACCGCGATTATCCTCAGAACTCTTGAAAGGAGGCTGGCAGGGGAAAAGGACTCATAAAAAAAAATATTTACACATGCACCAGCTCCAACTGTATCTTGATATGAAACATTTTGATAGGCCACGCATGTGGGGCACGAACGAAAAAAATAATACAGAACGAGGTAGATTTCAGAGGATGAACCTGAATCAACCGAGAGACCCAAAACGAG